AAAAAGAGATCAATAGTTAGTTTGAATGTATTTATCGTTTTTCTTACATTTACCAATACTCTATTTGATTGATTGCTGCTATCAACTTAGATGAAATATTTGATTCATCTATCTCCTCAGATTTATTCTCCTTACTTTCCACATCGTTCTCATCATCATCGAGGTCTTCTTTGGTAAGTTTATCTGCTCCTTTTTTGATTCGGGTTAAGAACTTTTTAACGTTTTTAAAAATTCCCTTTTTATAATACTCTTCACAATGAATGCATTTTCCGCTATAACAATTAATATGGTAACTATGATCACAAGCAAATACTATGCCATTTTTGTTGACAAGCAAATGTCCACAAGAATCACATAATTCTGGACGTGGGGATGTGCTGTGCTGTAAGCCGTCGGAAGGTGTCGCAAGTTCACATTTTTTCGTAAGGTAGCAAGATAGTATGTTTTTGGTGGGGATCTTTTTTTTGTTTTATTGGGTCTTGGAAAACTTTTTTCACGGTTGTAATAAATGTCTTGAAAGTGTTGTAAAAGAAAAAGTGTTGTTTTATCATATAAAAAATTTAATGTTTTTATAGTATATGGGTATCGTCGTGTCTTGCAATAGGTGTTTTTAAATGTAGGATCATGATTCATAACAAAGTAGGCTTGCTTTATAATACTGTCTACTGATGCGTTTTGGGATGTGTTTGCTCTAATTTTACTATGTACATTTTCTACATAATATTCATTAAAACTTGTTAAATGATTCTGTAATACATTCAAAAAAGGATGGTTAGTATCATTCCAGTAAAACAAATCTGATAAAAATACAAGAGGCGCTTTGTTGTAATTCTTTCGCTTCCAACGTAAAGCAAACGTCCAAATACGGAAAACTGCCTCTACATATTCACTAAATTGACCTGAACGAAACAAAATTGCATAGACATCGAGTGTTGCTGGAACTAAATTATCAAGAAGGTCTATCATAGTTTGATACTCGACATCTTTGCATATTCGTCCAAATTTTTTGATAATTCTGTCCTTGATTTTTACCCAACCATTTCGTGCAAGTTCTAATAAAAGGTTGATTCTCCAAGGACGAGGTTTTTTTGCTAAATCTTTATCCTCACCGAATACATAACGGAACAACTTTTCAAAAAAAGAATGATATATCATAATAACACATTCTCTACTATTAAGTGACATATGGAGTGGGCCTAAGATAGGCAAAAAAGATTTAATTTGTTGTGGAAATAAAGATTGTAAATTAGGTAATGACCGCATGTGTAAGGCTTTTTTAATAAACAACTGGTCGAGCCAGTCCGCGACAACTGGGGCAACTTGCTCGCTCAAATGTTGTGTCTTGCTATTTATGGATAGTATAAGATTTAATGCGTTAACATAATCTTGCACAGAGTGTAATTTTTGTTCTTTAAACCCTAAGAGCTGAAGCCCTTTTACTGATCGCTCTTCTTTACGTTCTTCTATATTATCCGCATAACTATGTATCGTTAACAATTCGATTGGATCCAAATTATTACTAACTAAACGACCTTGTGAATGCTGATAATCTGTGTATGAAATGTCAAAAATTCCGGTGTATCGATTAAGTAAGTACCAACAAATCCTTGGTGCTTCCACATTTGCTGGGTTGTGGATTGATACTCCATTAAACACAAGGGGTACTGAAGAACATCCTATAATCGGTTTCGCTACACAGGTAGCAAAATGGTTTGCTGTTGAGGTTGATACCGTATCGGGTCTACGGTTCTCATGAATAGAGTGATAGTCATCGATATTATAGACATAAAACCAATTTTTCTAATAATAAATATGCGATTATATTTTAATATATTAATATATTAATATTACAAATACAGTATACATTTATATTACATGTTCTAAAAAATAATTGTCAATTTCAACGGAGTGTTCTTTTTGAATTTTTTTTTGATATACATCCACCGTTTTAGCACACGCCAAATATCCAAGGCTTGACATAGTATTAATGGCCTCCCATGTTGCGCCCGATGCTCTTAGATATAACTCTACTTCTAATTTATGTTGATTAACAAATTTATTGCGTAAACCCGCAATTAAATAACATAATCCAACCACCGATTTCTTAGCTTCGCTTATATTATAAGCTGAGCGTTCTTTAGGGATAATCGCATCCGTTATATACTTAA